CTGGGGGGCAGTTAGGGGCAGGGGTCCCAGGAGGGGGCAGTCAGGGGACAAGGAGCAGGGGGAGGGTTGGGGTTCTGAGGGGGGCGGGGAGTGGAAGGGGCGGGGCTAGGGCAGAACGGGGGCGGGGCTCCTCCCGTCCTCTTTTTTCCATGCTGAAATATGGTAACCCTAGTTTATGGAGTCAAGATTTTTACTAGTTAGGTTTTGCAGTGCTGACCAATGCAATAATAAGTCTGTTTGTGGATCCAGGTGCAGACTATTACTTGGAGAGTAGGCTCCCCTTTTACTCCAGGGGAGAATTAATTTGCATCAGCCCTTTTGTTTGCACAGTATATTCCCTGGTCTGTGCTAGCTCTGCTGTGCTGGCTGGCTAACAGATTGGGGTGTGCAGAGCCAAGGCTTTGCCCACTTTTGGACTCTGCCTGGCAGCTACTACCTCATTCTTGCATAGGCTATGGTGATGCAGATAACCCATGCAGTTGAGTAAGGTGACATCTTATGCAACAACAAGGAAAAACGTCAATAAGCCAAGAAAGACTTAAGACGATTGTTACATTTTGCCATATGTACAAGACTCTCTTGCTTCAAGATAAATGACAGATATCATGAAAAACATGAGCATGTCCAGAAGTACTCCACAAAATTTCTTCTCCATAACTCACCTATTAGTTTTAATATCCTTGAATAGTTATTGAATTGTCTTCCAATATATCCCTGCATCTAAAGTAGCCACAAGGTCAGTATATTAATGTGTGTTTAAGGTTCCCAATATATTATTCCAGTTCACATGTGATTTCTGCACACCAGTTGCAAGTGGAATTGGCCAGACCTGGTTTTCATCTACAGAGGTATAGGAAAGAATTATTTTAGCCAGGAGGGTAAAACAGAGCCTGAAAGTTTCGTTTAGAGGTACAGTGATGAAATGGGGGTTAATAATGAGCCGTACAACTTCCAAGGTACATCTTTGAGCAGTAGTAGTATTTACAATAATTTATCTTATTCTCAAAAAAACCCTGAAATTTCAAAGATCTTGAACTATACAAATTCCAGAAATGTATCCAGATTACACAGGCACAGATCTTAAAACAAATATGCATGCTTTTGTGTGCACCATGATATACATGCAATACATATAGTGCATATACAAGTTGAGGTTGCAAGCATGCAAAGATATGTGTAAGCAGAAATCTGTGATTGCATACAATGGGTATTTTTGCATGGGCACTTTTGCTCAACTTCTTTTCAAAATTTGTCCAGACTCTCTCTGAGACCATAATAATACAACCTGTTTAAAAGCATGAGTTTCAAGCTCCTCAGCCTTCAACTATGTTTACAAGTGATGCAAATGAGCTGGAGAGCAGACATAAAAGAACCCTTGATGTCCTTACAAGTCCAGGCTCCATGTGAACTGGAGAGGTCAATCCTAAATATCTTCTCATCAAGAACACATGAAAGCCTGCATTCTGTAGAATATTTTATCTCAATTGGAATGTGCTCAATTAACCTTATAAATCAGGCAGGGGTCACTGCACCGAATACTGAAATGCAGCTACCTGCAGTTTTAAATCTTTTACTTAGGCAGAATGTATTTGTCTTGCAATATCACAGGTGAGACAGATGATCTAATGGTCCTTTCTGGCCTTGAAATCTGAATTGTAGAAGTACCAAAGCAATAAACACCTGACATATTTCAAACATGATATTCTCAAAAAGAGCTCAAGTTGTCAACTTTGCACCTTTTGCCTGTTTGGCTACTGCAAAAAACTCCAACTTTTTTCTTTTGAAGCTGTTTTTCTGGGATGATTTTGTTTTAATCCAGAAAAATTGGTCTTCTCTTCAACATTGCTCAAAACCCCATATAGACTATTTACTACAGGTTTCAGAGTAGCAGCCGTGTTAGTCTGTATCCGCAAAAAGAACAGGAGTACTTGTGGCACCTTAGAGACTAACAAATTTTAAATTTGTTAGTCTCTAAGGTGCCACAAGTACTCCTGTTCTATTTACTACAGGGAAATTCTTTATCATTAAGTAAGAGCATCCACATTTCCTCAGGTACGTCAGCTGCCTCCATCCAGCCACACAGGTAAAACAGCATTTGCAGCCACATTTAAATTTAATTGATCCACCCTTATTAAAATAAGGTGCAGTGACAAAAGGTTTTCTCAACCATTGGAGTCAATCTTCAACAATCAGTAAAGTGAAGCAAAAGCTCAAACATTGATGGAGGGTGGTGAGCAAAAGAGGGAATGAATGGTCAAAGAATAGCACAGGTCAGAAAGTCTCCTATGCTCCCACTAAGCAGCTTCAAAGAGGGAGAGTGGCTATCTATTGCTTCTCTGGAATCTCTCTCAAAGCAAGACATGAATGATACTTAACTTAGTGATGAGACCATATGGAATTGACCCAATATGTATGAAGTCCTTTTTCACTTACGTTCTGTGTTAAGTGGGATCACATGTGGACATTTCCTTTTCTTGTCAGTCTAGGATTTGTGTATGCTGAGGTAGTTTCACTGTAACTCCCCTGTCACTTTTCATCTTTGAGCATCTCTTAGCAGTGTTATTTGTTCATATTTTTATAAAGCACATCCAGTATTTTGTGCACAGTACAATTTTTAAAAAGATTTTAAGGAGTCCCAAGTACCACTGACATGTTTAAAGGACTAGAGAGGGCTATTGGCGCATTGTTCCAAATGCTTTGAATTGCCACCTTAAAAAGTCTGCAAGCCTCAAGTATTTTTTTCCTGCTTACTCCTGCAAAATCTAAACCAAGATAGGATAAATGTGCAAGTCTTCTACATATAGTTTTGTAACATTACAGAGAGTAATTGTTAAGCCTTTTAGGCCTGGTCTACACTAACACCCCAATTCGATCTAAGGTACGCAACTTCAGCTACGTGAATAACGTAGCTGAAGTCGACATACCTTAGTTCGAATTTACCGCGGTTCAGACGCGGTCCACACCGCGGCAGGCAGGCTGCCCCGTCGACTCCGCGGTACCCCTCTCACTGAGGTGGAGTACCGCAGTCGACGGCGAGCATTTCCTGGTTCGACTTATCGCGTCCAGACCAGATTCTCTGGTCCAGGCAGGAGCTGGGTATTGCCTTGAATATACTGATACCAGTATAGTCCAATGCAGAAGTTTTGGGACGTTGATGTAGAAAGCCAGCAATGGAAGTCTGCGGCCCCTCTTCCTTGTAGAGAACAGCTCTGCAGGGGTTTCCTCAACCTCAATGTGGAGAATGTTTTGGTGGCAGTGGTGTGCCCTGTGGATCGGCAACAACTCTGGACTGCCAGGCAACCCCCCGATGCAGAGTGAGGTACCATAGCCACTGGGGCAATTGTGGAAAGGTTCTGTACTCTGCCAATGAAACAGGTTTCTCTCCCCTGATTCTTCTACTTACTTCAACTGTTCACTTGGAGCAGGATTTCCCCTTTAATCTCAGAGAGCCCAGTCCTTCAGTTGCTTTGTACACAGAACTCCCACTGAAGTCAATGAGCTTTGTATGTAGATAAACTGCAGGATTGGACCCTAAAGAAAATAATGTATACACACAGGATTCTTGCCTGTAATTGTAATTCTTTGAATGTAGTATCCTTTGTGAATTTATGCTGATCATCTCACCTCTCCTTGAGAATTTTAATACTGTTGCAATAGAGGACTGACCATTATGCTCTCTAATTCACACATGAAGCGCCTGTAACAAGGATTTATTAACCAAATTCTAGACCAGGGGTCGGCAACGTTCGGCACGCGGCTCACCAGGGTAAGCACCCTAGCGGGCCAGGCCAGTTTATTTACCTGCTGACGCGGCAGGTTCGGCCGATCGTGGCCCCCACTCGCCGCGGTTCGCCGTCCCGGGCCAATGGGGGCGGCGGGAAGCGGTGCAGGCCGAGGGGGACATGCTGAGTGGCTTCTGTGTTTGCTAAGGTCTTTGCAATCGGTTATCTATAAGGCCCACTTTCTGTATGTTGATGCCAGCATAAGACCTTTTCAGCAGAGGAACGTTAACATCCTCTAAATATATATGTATTTTAGACTATCATGGACTCACAGTGCATGTGGTACACCACACCTAATATCTTTTTTTTAAAAGAACTGCTTGGTTAAGCAGGACCTTTACAAACTGATGTTAGCCTAAATATTACCTAACTCTGACCTGATTAGACCATGCTGTCAGAATCCAAGGTGTATTTTATACCTGATTTGCCTGAAGATCTCCAAGGAAGTTGCTGTCAGATGGGGTAAGTAAAAATCGCAAACCAGAAAAATCAAGTGTAAGGCCAAGGGCCTTTGCTCCTTTTAGGTCAACAGGCTATCTGAGGGAAGACTGATGTTCCAGAACTCCAAGATTTCACCTCTGAGGGAGGAAATCACACCACCAATTAACAGGCTTATACCAGGCGTTGACGAGTCTTCCTGTACCTTATAATAAGTGACATGGGCCAGAAGCATCGAGAATCCGTATAGATATCAGCATGTCCCCACGTAGGAGTCTAACGAGCACCCTCTTAATTATCCTTTGGGTTTAAATTTTTTTTTTTTTTTAATTCTTACAACAGTTGATAAGCAGCTTTAGTTAGAGAATCTCAAACTACTTTGCAAACAATAGTTAAGTCTCAACATCTCTGCAAGATCATTATTATATTGATTTTATAGACAAACTGAGGTATTAAATTAGTAATTAAGTAGTATTTGTAACTTTTTCTGACACTGGGATCTTAAAAATGCTTATATGCCTAGATATAAAGGTATTAACTTCAAGGGGACTACTCATGTGCTTAAAGAGAAACATATGTTTGTTTATAGGCCAAAAATCAAATAAATTTATCAATGGAGATTAGTTAAAAATCAAACTCATTTGAGTTCTGTGAGTTCATAAGAAATGCTGAAAATATATTTAAAAAAAAAATACCCAGAGCCTTCATGTTATTAGGCCAAGGAAAAACCGGAGTGCTTTAACACCATGAATTCCTAACTTGTTAATATTTTATTTACAGTTTGGTGATAAATGGAGGACCACCTGCAGTTCCAACCTATACTAAAGGTATATAATGTATTTAACTTACTTTGAAGTTCACAGATGAATTAATTAGCTATCAACACATCCCAAGAATGGGGATCTGCAGAAACACTCCTAAAAAGACAGTTAACTTTTTTCTTAGTCATATATTTAACTTATTTTAGAAATTACCTCCATAATGAGGCTACATGTACTATATGCCATTTCCTAACTTTTGAAACTGTGGGCAGGTGACTTTAGTTAGAATTCTCAATTTTTTTAATTTAGCGAATTAGTTAGCATAGGTAAATGTAAGGAGCATATAAAAGTTTCTGTTACAAATGTAAAATACTTACTATTTGTCATGGTTGGCCTCAACTTTATGGTCTTCTCTTTTTTAAAAAGCCACAAATCTGCTAGGTCAGAGTGTTCAAGGACATATACTCAAAAGTCTGCTGATGATGTAAATGTAAAATAAATTACACTATTTTTATTTTGCAGAGAGATCACGAAGTAGTAGTAGTAGAAGACAATTCAAAGCTAAATTTCATCCAAAGGACTCTCTTCTTTTAATGCCTATATCTGCTCACTTAATGGGAAAACTCAGAACTACAGACAAACCCCGTAGCCGGACCACTGGGCTTCAATCATTTGCACATGCAACTTCCGACATCACAAAAGTGTCAAGACCAAGAATTTTTAATGTCAGCAAGCTCCGGCTTAATTCACCAGGAAAGAAAGCTTGAGTCCAGTGCCAACAATGTAGCAGATAAGTATTTGTATCCATGCAATATCCTGTAGGTTTGGGAACAGAATTTCTTGATGCCAGTTGCTAATACACAGATGCCTAATTTTGGAAACCTGAACTCTTTTCACAAAAGAATTGTGTGTGGGATGGAAGGAGGCGGTCTGTCTGTGAATAATTAAATTTACTGCAGTAGTAAAGAATAAATGCATTGAAAATAATTTCAAATTCATCACTCACGGGCATCAATGAAGGCTATTGTGTGCAGGTTGTTTTATATTTTGGTGAATTTAAGTTTCTATTTCTAATCAGACAATACCTTCTGTTACTAGATACAAGAGCTGTGAAATAGAAGATGCAAGTATGTGTAGCAGCTATCTTCAGATAGGCACTCTCAAACTAATCTATATCCACTCTTATGGGTAAATTTTTAAAATGTTGTGCCGAGTTTTAAGATCAATGGACTCATGTAGCCAAAATCCTGAAGTGCTATGAAAATTTGCCTCTATAAAACGTTGTTCTGTGTTACAAAAGGATATTTGAGTATATAGTTGTTAATAATTAAGGCTGATACTTTTCATTTATCTAGAGATCTTTAACTGAGTGCTTTCCAAAGGTAATGATTGCACTATTAAATTATTCCTATTTTACACATGGGAAAAATAAGGGACATAAGTCTAAGGTCATGCAAGGAGTCAATGGCATATGAGAATAGAATAACTCTCCTTACTTCCAGCTCCCTGTTTTAACTACTAAATAGCACAGCTGCCCATAAGGGTGCTTACATTGGTCAGATATGACTTAGTAAGAGAAGACTAGAAAACATAAACATTTTAATAATAGCCATGAATAATAATTCCCAAACTGGATGTGTTATAAGTTGATAGTTGCAAGTTCATTTAGGGAGACTTCTAGACTTGGTACCTTGATGGCAACTTCTCCAACTTGTTCTGAGATATCAATTCCAAGAGAAGCTCTATAATATAATAAGCACTGTATTATTTATTTTTAACAAACAATTTTTAATAATTATGGTAATAAAGTTGCACATCTACACAAGTATGAAGCTACCTATTTAAAGTATTCAGCATTATGAGAGAGTATTTGGTGCTTGACTCTTGTGAGCTTTATACAGGCAATGAAGATTTGTAAATCTATACAGCACCTTCTATATTTTATTTTGTCCAACTTCCCTTTTATGAAAGAGTTTCCTTGTTCATAGCATGATGATGTACACGAGTTCCACCTAACCCATAAGGTTTTTATAGCATTCCCCTTCACCAGTGACAGTGAGTAAAGTATTGCAGGTTCTTTCCTTCCACATGAATAGCTCAATACTGTCTACTAAGTGTCTCAACACAAATGATCTGCCCAGAACAAGAAACATGTTATCTCCAGGCCAGAAATGTAATCTCTATGCATTTAAGCTTTTATCTCTCACCTCATATTTGAAACGTGAAATGTGAGTCCTTTCAAAAGTCAGTCTTTTTGTTAGCAAAATGAACCAAACCTCAGCCCAAGAAATTAAAGGGACAGCACTGTTACTGAAGTCAATGAGAATTGTCCCTGCTTATGTCAGGGGTAAGTGTGACACCAGGGGTGAAATCCTGGTTCCACTGAAGACAATGGCAGAACTTCCATAGACATCAATGGGCTCAGAATTAACCCACATATGTGCTGAAAATAATAAAGCTGGCCTGTCCAGTCACGGGAGGACTACCCCAGGGTAGAGGGATCCCACAGTTGTGTAGAGCTGGCATAAAAGTTCCTCTACCAACTCTTTCCTTATACCCTGAGTATCCCTGACTGCTGAAGTGGCCCCAGTGTGCTTCGAATGGGGGAGAAAAGCAAATTCCTTCTAAAGAAGAAATATTTTCTCAGCTTCCCTCCCCAGTGTATCTCCTCTAACTGAGGTGAGGAATTTTGAATATAAAACACTGCAAACATCTTAAACAAGAAGGGTTTCAACTAGTTTCAATTTAAAATTTTTGACTGAATGAGATTTAAGAAAAAAGCAAGTGGCATAATAATAGCTCCTGCCAGACAAATAAATTTTCGAGATATGGTTAATCTCGTTTAAAATAGGCTGAATATGCAGTTGGAAGGGAAATGAGCAACTGGCCAAAGGTATTTGACAGCTAGCCAGAGAATAATCAAGGTCAAAAGAAATCAGAAACACAACAACTTGTGAACAAATGGCTATAAGTATGGGTGAGGGTCTAGTAAAGAGACTGAATATCCAATATAAAGGAGAACAGCAGCTGGAAAATACAAATTCATAGTGTTAAGAAAGGGAAAAAAACAGGCCAGGTCAAATCATATCAAATTTATTAGCATTATTGAACCAGAAGCTTGTCTGCCCTGACTTTCTGGAGAGAGAAAACAGCTACTGAGGCAAACTAGAAGGGCTCAAGTTACTTACAGCCGCTTCCAAGAGTTTGCTGTTTCTATCCCTACCTCCTAGTTGAAGAGATTACCCTACAGTCTGAACTGGAACCTGGAACATAGCAGAAGAGATGAACTCTGGCTATGGTGGTGGTTGTTTTCCCCCCAGAAAGTTGCTTTTCTTTTTCACTTTGATGCTAGTTGAGATTTCGCAGTTTGCATCCCATTGCTAACACTTGTGAATGCAAGATATAGCAGAAGTTCACAAGAGTATTTTCCTGTGCAATTTATCTATTCTGTGGGATTGCCGCAAAATAAGGTATCCTTATTTTTTAATGAATGAAGCCTTACATAAGTACTCTCTGGAGCATGACATTCCAACATTTTTGTTCTATGGGAAAACTGCAAATCTGTGTTTCCTGAGAAGTTCCCAAAATGTCTGTTTTTATTGAGGAAAGGGGAAAAGATGAAAACCTATTTTATAATAATACAGATCACAATTAGCATTTTAAAAATAGGGAACCTCCAAAGTTTCCCAAACACTTTGCTTCAATTCAACCCCACTTCCATTCCTTCCAAAACCTACATAACCTCATAAAACAGGCCACGCCATGGATACGAATGTCTGTAAAGTGCAGTAGAGGTATTTTATATTATCAGACTTTTCTACATCAAATGTTATTTTATTAAAGGTATTCTGGTTAAGAAGCAGTGTTTTAACTTTGTCTAAAGACCTGGGGCCAGACTGATGCACAGTGTGGCATTGCTGAGAGGGTGTCTACTGCTGCCATCCCTCAGGGTTCCCATCAGGATGCTGGGGAGTAGCCTTTTTTTGTTTGTTTTTTTTAATGGCTCAGGCTTGTCAGCATCCCCACTGGAAGAGGCAGCTGAGAGGTCAACATATCCTTCACATGCCTTCTGTCCAATTTTGGAAAAGTGCTGGCGTGTCTCCAGCTCCTTAGAGCAAAATAGGTTGGGACTGCTGTGTGCCACTGCAGCCTCCACCAACAGATATTCCATCTCAGGAATGTAAACCCAGTCTGAATTTAGCACTGGATGGCTGATCATGAACAGGCAGCAGGGTTCAGTGCATAGGACAGTGAGCTCAGAGACAGAATGCCTGAGTTCTAGTTCTGTTCCTGGCTCTGCCACCAATTAATTGAATGACCATGAGCAAGTTGCTTAACCTCTTCGTGTCTGAATTTCCCCATATTACAATAGGAATAATGATATTTATCCAACTTTATAATGTGCTTTAAGATCTATGCCCAAAAAGGGGTAAATAAGTGTTAAGTATTATTTGTATCTTATATAATTGTAGTGAAAAGTAACTGATATTTAAAAAGCACAACTGCATCACAAGAAGTTTCACATAATAAAATCTGATTGTGTAACTGAAGGAGGCTTAAATTAAAATGACTGAAGGAAGTTAAAGTTCAATGTGACCGTACGAGAAAATGGATTGGTAGGAGCTGTGCCACTTACTTTGGTTCATAGCGTATGCCATCTGTGCTATGTAACACACCTAAGCCTGCACGCATCCTTTCAATGCCATTCCTAAATAGAGAACATAAATGTAAAATGCAGTTCATACTTAACGTACAAATGTGTCTTTTCGTCTGGATGACACATGGCTTAACTACAATAAGCAGAAATTCTTACACAATTACGTCAACTGGTTTTTCACATGTTGTACCACTGCTTTATAGAACATTTAAAAAACAACAACACAGAAACACAGTCTTTGCTCACCAGGCAATCATAACACCATTGTCAGTACAGAGTCTGGGAGGAGGACACAGCAAATTGAAGTTAGTTGCATCTGTTACAATTTGCAGAGCTCTTCGGATATACTGATTACTTGCAACTCCTCCTGATATAACCTGACAACAATTTTAAAAAGACAGGCAAAAGTCATTCAAAAGGTAAACAAATAAGGAACAGCTGATAGTACACTAGTTCAACAAAAAGCTTGATGAAGATATTGAAGAAAATTCATGAGAAAGGCCATACTGGGTCAGACCAATGATCCATCTAGCCCACTATCCTATCTTCGGACAGTGGCCAATGTCAGATGCTGCAGAGAGAATTAACAGAATGGGTAATCACCATCCCTTGTCATCTACTCCCAGCTTCTTGCAGTCAAGGGGCTAGGGACACTCAGAACATGGTGTTGCATCCCTGCCCATTCTGGCTAATAACCATTGATGGACCTATCCTCCATGAACTTATCTAAATTTTTTTTTGAACCCTGTTATGGTTGTAGCCTTTACAACATCCTCTGGCAAAGAGTTCCACAGGTTGACTGTGTGTTGTGTGAAGTAGTACTTCCTTTTGTTCATTTTAAACTTGCTGCCTATTAATTTCAGTGGGTGGTCCCTAGTTCTTGTGCTATGTGAAGAAGTAAATAACATTTCCTTATTCACTTTCTCCACACCAATCAAGATTGTATAGATCTCTATCATATTCCCCCCTTAGTCGTCTCTTTTCCAAGGTGAAATGTCCTGGGGGAAGCTGTTCCATACCCCTAATTTCAAAGAGAATAAATAGGGAAATCAAGACCTAATAGAATAGAAAAGGATAAGAGAATTGGGTGTCTGTAGTCTTAGTAAGGGCTTGCGATTGATGCAGTGGCGTCAATTTATTGGGTCTGGTGAAGATGTGATAAGTTGATGGCAGAGTGCTCTCGCGTTGCCTTCAGTGCTCCACCTCCCCAAGAGGCAGAAGCTAAGCTGGTGGGGAAGCATATCCTGCCAACATAGTGCAGTGTAGATACTGCATTAGGTCGATGTAAGCTACGTCGCTCGGGGGTAACTTACAAGCGGCAGTGTAGACCAGGCCTAAAAGATTACTGAACAGATATTACTATCTATAAATACAGCATGTAAAGGATGTGTACGTAGGGCAGCTATCAAATATCAGGCATTACTGGGTGAAATTCTAGGGCCTCTGTTATGCA